CGCGCCCATTTGCTACTGGATGATCGACGGTCTCGCTCGGAAACACCGTTGGCACTGACGAACAACCTTCCGCGCAAGATTTCGACCACCTAGTGGCCAATACCGTTGCCGAACCATACCCAAAAGTAGTTGGGGCCCAGCGTGAAGATGTTTATAGTGATAAAAGCGTAAAACTAATTCCGTGAATGGATGTCTAGCTGGTAAAACCGTCAGGTGTTTCGTCTGTTGTGATTCCTCGGAGTGCGCTAGTCTACCACCAACTCTCAGGATACCGTTTTCATCGATTCGAGGGTTAAACCATCGCAAGGGAGAATTTTGACAAACGGGAGAGCCTGATGACAGATGCTTGATCTCCTCCGAGAATGATTCCGCTTGCACCTTCCGGATGATCGCACATTCGGCTAGGTTCAGATCGCTAGCGGATAGAAAACCTGTCCGTCTTTGTTCTTCTGGACACCGTAAGTTGTCCATGAAGCGTAGCCAGTAATCCGAAACAAATTCTCTTTCCATCGACGAAGCGCAAATCACCACATTGCGTCGTCGTTCTAACTCTTCTTCTGGTGGGTTTCCAGTTCCTTTAGGCCATTCTTCAGGAGGGTCCTCTAACCAGGTGGGCCCATTCCACCATAAGTCGTTCTCGAGAATATCCTTCGGAGCGATCCCGCGTGAAATTAGGTCAGCAGGATTAGTGCTTCCCGAAACATGCCTCCAATTGTTTCCCTCCGTCAGCGCTTGAATTTTGGCGACCCTGTTCACCACGAAATTGGTCCATGTTCCTTGGTCGTGGTGCTTGACTCCTTGATTACAGGATGATGTGGCAGGAAACATCGTTTGACTGTCCCCTCCTCATTATCGTACACTCTTCTCATGTGACCGAGCTCGAAATATTCGGTCATGAAGCTGAAGTATTGCTTCTGAAGGTATGGATCCTTTTCCAGTCGCCGTTCCACAGCTCGTTCCGGATTGTTGAAATATCAACCTTCATCAACTGACATAGACTTTCAGAAATGAAGTTGCATTCCGACCCGGAATCTAAAAGCACACGTGCCGGATAGCGAGAACCCTGGCTGTCCTCGATCACAACAACTGATGTAGCCAGAAGTACCTGCGATATCGGAAGCTGCGCCGTGTTTGACGATGCTGTCTCGACCGATGCTGCATTCGCTGCCTTGGGATCAGAACTCGAGTCGGTCCGGTTGCCACTTTTACCCGAATTGGCCTTCTCGGGTGATCCATTCCTACTGCTTCTTCCTTCGCCCTTGAAGCACAGCAGTGTGTGGTGTCGAGCCTTGCAGTTGCGACACGAGAACTTTGACGAGCAATCTCGAGCTAGCGTTTTAGCAACGACTCCCAAGCTATTTTATAATTGACGCTAGTTTTCTTTAGCGGATCGACTAGCACCTTAGCTTCGCCTGCTAAGCAACCTTTCAAATAGTGAAATTTCTCCACATCCTGAAGTTCTGCTTTCTCATGGATCAAGGACGTGTAGAGATCCCTGAAACTCAGCCAGTCATCGATGTCTCCGTCGAAAGTCTGCAGCTGGTACTGAACGTCACGCAGTATGTATAGTAGCAGTCCAACAACAAACAAAACCTCAGGGCTTGCGTTCGTGAATGAATTGACTCCAATAGTCCAAATAGCTTCGAAAGGTTGAACATTTATTAGGTGTAGGATCAATAAATTCCAGCTTCAGCCGGGCATATACTGTATTTATGTATTTACCTGCCCAAGATGACCGTTGCACGATGCCCGAGCCTGAAAGCGTGATGCGATGCCGTCTATTGTATGGTCATAAGAAAGTAGCACCAAAATCGTCGTCGACCGTCCACAATCGCCACCGAATTCCTCAAATGGTGCCTGAAACCAAGTTCTTCGCGAACTGATTCACCACTTTGACGTCCGTAAGTACTCGTCGATTCGGCAACAATAACACAAGTCGAAATGTGGGTGTTAGTTGGGATTTTTTGTCGCTTCGGCGGACTTATACCAGTTCTTACATACCTGAGTGGTAGTAGGACAACGCTCTGGTTGTCCTACAATCAGTCTTGTAAGCGGTCACGGTAGTCGACACATTTTCTGTGATAATTAACTGCCTTTGCCTTCGACACTTGCAAAACAAGCTATCATAGTACAGTACCAAACTAAAATGACAGGCTCTGTCATACGACACTGTCGCCGAAGACCGTCACGAATGTATGTATTTTAGTTTTACTCATAATAAGAGCTGCTGATGGTGTGCTTGTGTGAATTCTGAAAATAGCGAGGGGGGCGACACATCTAAATCTCAAGTTAAGATTCTCAACAAATCTCACACTAGCGAATCAGTCTTCGAAAAATCTTCTTTCATTTATCGCATCTACTTGCATCGAGCATCATCTTTTTGCAGGAAATCTTCAGAATCGTCATCAATCTTCTTTCTATCAACTCAGCGTGCGCGCAGCTAGCCACAGCAAAACACAATCTTTTCTGCATCGTAGATAGAGGCGTCCCCCTCGGAAAATAGCAAGCAATGATGTCCTAGCAATAATATTTCTGATCAGAAATGGTTTGATTTACACCAAATTGAGGAATTACAAAGAAATCACACATGTCATATGATAGCTATTTTGATAATTTTCTTTAAGCTCGAATGTTATTCTACCGCTCGTGTCTTGTGAGAGAGACGACGGTAGAGCATGAGTGATCGAATACAAACAGACTGTCGCGCACGACAACGAAGCGAGTGTAGTAAAAAACGTCAACTGATGATCGTCGAAAGTGACCGAGTAGAGCCAATATCCACTTGTAGAAAATGGTTGCACTAGCTGGAGACGATTCTGTTGAAGGACGATGGCGACCTTCCTCTCTGTTCCACAGCTGATTTCAGCCCGTGGGTTTGCCGATGTAGGATAATAGGTGATGTTGTTTGGTTGTAATAGATCCACTTCAAGGATGGCGATTGGTCTTTTGTGGCATACGAGGCTGGCGGTTTGGTGCCCGTACGATGGCACACTTCGATCGTACCTCGGTCAAATAGTAGAGATTTGGCCGATCCAAAGTCCATCGGCAGTAGAAATCCGGCTCGAAGGACCAATTTATGTCGGGGACCGTCCCGACCGATTGTTCGTGACTTCTACTTGCCCTTGAACCTTTCCTTTTCAGTCCGTATCCTTCCTTGCTCCAACCAAATCCTTGTGTCATCCGTAGACCTTCCTTCACCGCATACAGAACACTACACCCTTTTTCACAAAATACCGTTTATTTTACAAGAGCACAGCATTGATTTTATTTACTAGACACTACATTTATTCTTACTAATAACTAAACAAAATGATTTAGTACAGGGTTCGCCCCCGGTCGACTACTCGCGACGGTGTACTTTTTAGACTAACTTATTTCCTATATTTACATTTCTATCTCCTTAACCTACTTCCCACATTCTTCGACGAGAAACTCTCTCCTTCTCCGTGCAGCTCGTGCGTAGTAGTGAGTGACCGCGGCGAATCGGTTCACTACCACTAGCCACCACACTCAACCGATTGGTAGCACCGTGGAGTACCTCAATCCCAGTCAGTGCGTTTTCAATTGGCTGCATCCACATTCTTGGTGCTCACAAACACAGGTTAAAAAAAAACCTTTTTAAAATACTGAATTACCAAGGCAGGAACAATGTAAAAACACTTAGATTTATATCATGACAATAAAGGCTGGTAAGTTACTGTAGTACCTGGATCACCTAGGTTAAAATGAAATGTAATTTATTTTGAAACAAACAAAGGGCAATGAACAATTTTGGAACAAATAAAGACTAATAAACAATTCAAACAAGTTTTTTTTTCAAATACGACCTGATAGTTCAAAATTATCACATCCAAAAAGTGGGCAACCAACCGAGTTTGATCGGTTTTCGGTTTTACGACCGAACAGGTTAGGTTAGGTTATCTTTATTAACGAGACTTTTATCCATACCACCGAACAGACCAATGGTGTTGATGAAGCTCTCATTTAGCCCAGTGGTACAAAAGGGTGATGCACATATTTCGTCACGCTCAAAGGGGGAGGGGGTTAAGGATTTTGTGACAAACAATGCATTAGGTATGGGAAAAACGTAACGAAAGGGGGAATTTTTCCTCAATTTAGTGTAACATAATTAATGCATCCCCCAAAGAAGTAAATAGTCCCAAGAGAACCATCCTGTATTCTCGAGAAACTTCGTTTATGGCTTATAAATTTATGATCATAAAATTCAAGTCGTGGTGGGAGTTTTGTATCGTCTCAGATTTGAAATCCTACGATAAACTATCCTAAAGCGCTTTATGTCTGATGAGTATCAAATGATTTGTTTAGTTGTAAAAAGATTCAACGATTTATTTGGATACCATTTTACGAAAAGCATATCATAAAGAAAAAAACATTTTCAACTCATTCCCATTTACTGCACGGAGCGTCGAAAGAGCAAATTTATGCCCCACTAGGATGTTTTAATTGACCTTTGCGACGACAGCGACAACAAACGACAAAGTGTGCGCACCCTGCGGAAAATGGCACCGTGGCACGATTTTCCATTTTCCTCCAGGCTGAAGCTGCTCTGGTGTTAGTTAGCTGGATGTCCCTTTTGACCCTTGAAACTACCTGACGTTTGCCAAACTGCTACGAAAACAAGGCGGTAGGTTAAACCATTATGCTGATTTTTGGGCCTGGGCTGTAGTGGACTGTTGGGGGGTAAATCTAGAACACGCAATAATGGTCCGCTCTCGTCGAGTGGGGTGACATTGCATGACCGGAGGCAGTTTTGATTGTGATTTTCGCTCCCCACGGCGCTGTTTATTAATAAGTCAGTTGTTTGGAAAGGGGGAAAAGTTTTGATGTTGGAGACTGCTGCCGACAAACGAGGGAGGGCATTTTATTGCCATGCCGTGCTCGTAGCTGACTAATTTAATTAATAGAGTCAGCTTCAGGGTGACCTGGGATTCTTTTGGAAGGGAAAATTGAAATTTTGTAGCAAGGTTTTAAGCACTTACCAGCGAAGATCGGTACGAATGACAACAGGGCTGGTGATATCCAGGTATTGAGTAACATTACGGCGACGACTCGCTTCGTCATGCTTATCGGATACTTAAGTGGTTTCACTATTGCATAATACCTGCGGAAAAAAGGAAAAAATTTAAAATTTATACTTCGCTTCCCATCGCGACCAACCTACCTATCCACTGAAATACAGCACAGATGCAGTATGCTTGCGGTTGAAAAGTACACATCCAAGCTGTTCCACACGTCACACATGAAGGATCCAAACTTCCAACTGGACGACATCCCGTTAAGCGTGTTTCCATCCGTCATCGTCATCATCGTGGGATTCAAATTTCATTACGCCAACGCGGGATGCAACGACATGTCGACGGGAATTGTCCATGTCCGCACGTTTTGCAATACCACAGGATAGAGAACAGGAAAAAAGAGCCGTCAGAAATTGAATCTATCACACTGACAAAATGACTTCAAAGGGATGCAAACGACATATATTTTTTTTTCGTTTGACATTCATTTGATTACGCGATGGAGAGTTGCATTTATGGGATTGGGGAAGGGGGACTTACCTTCCCGTTATTTGTACACTGAAATTAAATGTCATGGCCATCATCGCCACCATGATGTCTGCCATGGCGAGCGATACCACAAAGTAATTTGTTATAACTCTGAAACGACACAGAAACAAACAGACAAAAAGAGGAGCATTACTTGATGAAACGCAGAGCTCGGCTGATTGGAATATCAACAAAATGTAATTCATTTGTAGACCAGAGCAGCCTATTGAATTGCTTCCATTCCAATAACATACATCACGACTGATGGAGCAGAATTCGATTACGGTTGAACTGATTTGATTTGAGTAAATCCCAGAGGACTACCCGAGTGGGAATGGGTTTAATGGAGTATGTTGCTCTATACATTCGCTACTTTGTTCGCTGTTCTAACGATGCGGGTTTAATACGGCTTTTCTCGGAATTTTAATTCAATCGAACGAATGGGTTCTCCAGCAGCACCTCTGTCAACGTATCAATTAATGATTATAGCACACGAGTGATCTATTTTTAAAGTATATTTAGATCTACCACCGATTCCTAGTCCAGACTACTTCAAACTAGGGGAACAGAATTTTGTCTTGACCGAAAATGATCTTGAAACATGGAAAAATTTAGTTAGTTAGTTTTCATTTATGTGATTCCGAATCTTCTATTCGTTTTCCCTAGTTTGAAGTGGTTAAGAGTCTTAACTTAAAACTTGGATTCTGATGCATGGTCAGAATCGGTGTCGTTGCTTAATTTTGTTGCTAAGGAATCAAATTTTGACTGACAAAGGGGCGTGCTTTTGGAGGGTGCTCTTACTCTTCGAAGGCTATGGATAGTGGGACCTTTCAATTAGAATCGATTTGCCTCGACACTGCTGCCGACTTTGAGGAACATTCGGACACCCCCAAAGACGTTGACCAGTGCCTGAGGTCCATAGAGGAGGCAATATCCCGAGCCAGGGAACAACACGTGCCAGTTTCCAGACAGATGAGCTACACTCTGAACCTTGATAGACCCACTAAAGACATTATAAGACTCCGTAACGCCATGCGTAGACAGTACCAACGTACTGAACTGACCACCATGAATACCCATTGCAACCGGCTAACACAAATTGTTCAATCCAGGATGGTGGACCTCAGAAATGAGCACTTTATTGAAATGTTGCGTTCTCTCCCAGATTATGCCAAGCCATTCTGTAAACTAACAAAAATCCTTACGAATAAGCTAAGGCCCATTTCACCACTTGTGCCGTTGAATCAACCCAATGATTTAGTCGCCCATCTGAAGAGAAGGCTGATGCTATAGGTCAACACTTCCACAGCTCTCATAATCTCGGACTGAACATGGCTCGTCTATACGCTACCGCGGTTGCTGAAAATACAACCAACCTCCATCAAATTCCCAACAATTTTCCTGCGGAATCCGAGATTACGGCTGATAAACTGTTGGATTATTTTAAATCATCTAAAAACACGACCAAATTCTTAGTCTAGAACTCAAACACTTGAATTCCACTGTGACAGTTTTATTTGTGGGTGGAGTTTACTAATTCTTTCATGACTAAAGCCTGAGTAATTTAATATCTGAACGCACTCTTTATTTTACTGAAAAGCTACTAGCGGTCGGATTTGGAATGTTTTGTTCTTTCAGTGCTGAAAAGTTCGTCACGATTCATTTTGTTTAAAATAAGTTATACTTCGTGGAAGCCGCGAACAGAAAATTAATTTGGAACACCCACATGGAAAATCCGACGTGGTCAGGTTCAAAATTCGTGAAATCGTTGAAATTGGCTCAATCGACCATGTGCAGTGTTTTCAAACGTTTCCGTGAGCGGCATAATATCGTTCGGCAAGCGTTGTAATGAAACTAAGGATCGGAAGCTGCATTTGAATGTGTTGAGAACGGTTAGGGCGAACCCAGGGCTGTTGGATTATGATATCGCCAAGAAATTCAATGCCAGCCAAAGCACCGTTAGAAGGATTCGGCAGCGCGAAGGATTTCTATCTTTTCGGGCCAGCAAGCAACCAAACAGGACACTGAAGCAGAATCTAGTGGCCAAAAGACGTGCTCAGTAGATCTATAGGTTAATATTAGAGACATTGCCCCTATATAGATTTTTCAAATCAAAAATATTATTTATCTTCATAGAATTTACATAATCCTTTTACTTTTGTCCTTCTCATTTTCTTTCCTTTCCTTTCCATCTTCTCTTTAAGAAAGCGAGTAATGGCGCTATAGCCATAAGCCATAAAAGGCTAGGACAAGAGTTCATGCTCATGTCCCAACCGTCAGAGGAAAACAGAGCATCACTTAACCTCTCTAGCTTTGATGCTTCCAACGAACAACCAATCATATAATTGCCAAAATCGGAACGTACGTACTCCGAACCCACATGGCGAGCTTGACTCTTTACAGTTGTATCAGGAATGTATGTATTCCCCCGAGTAGGGGCCGGGAACTCGTCCGGCGGCTCTGTTCCCTGAGCAAGGGCCGGGTTCTGGTCCAGCGGCTTGGTTCCCCAACGACGATTTAGCAGAACTACTGATGGTTTGAACCACATTCGATGTAACGATGGCAGGATCAATCTCGACTGAAAGTAGACACAGCTTTGAGATGGCACGCTTGGTTGTTCCTGAAATGATCTTTACTGTGGCGAAGCGCACTCGTCCGTCGGTACCGAGGTGGATGCTGATCACGCGCCTGAGAGGCCATATTTGTGGCGGAACATTCTCGTCCTTGAGGGCGACGATGGAACCGACGGCGAGGTTGTCGAGAACTTGATTCCAGCGGTAGCGATTTGGCAGTGTAGTCAGATACTCCTTGTGCCAATGGGACCAGAAATGTTGAGTGAGCTGCTGTACTCGTCTCCACCGGGTCAAGCGGGACTCGGAAATGTCCTGCTGATCAGGATCGGGCATTGCGTTCAGTGGTCTGCCGATCAAGAAGTGTCCTGGAGTGAGAGCGAACTCGCCGGAAGGATCGTCTGGTAGTGGAGTAATAGGGCGTGAGTTGAGCATTGCCTCCACCTGCACTAGAGCAGTTTGCAGTTCAGGATCAGTGAGGTGTGCATTTCCAAGAATCTTGTGGAGCAGGGTCTTGACTGATTTCACGCAGGATTCCCAGATTCCACCAAACGAAGGCGAACGTGGTGGAATGAAGTGGAATTGGATTCCATTTTCTGAACACTCTCGTGCTACTGACTCCTTGTGCTGCTGGGACATGAACAGTTTCCGTTGCTCTTCTAGCTCTCTCTTCGCCCCCACGAAGTTTGTCGCGTTATCGCAGTATACCTGTGCAGGCTTTCCTCTGCGACCGGTGAATCTTCGAAGACTGGCCATGAATGCCTCGCTGGTGAGGTCAGACATGAGATCGAGATGAGCGGGTTTGGTTACGAGACATACGTCGACCACGATGTATGCCTTGAAGAACGGAGTACGCCTGTTTCTCACTGATGTGCGCTCGTAGATCGGCCCGGCCAGGTCTATGCCGACATTCTGGAATGAGTACGCCTGGTTGACCCGAACAGGAGGTAGTTGTCCCATCAGCTGTTCGAGAGGTTTCGGTTTAGCTTGGACGCACGTCATGCATCGGTGGATGACCTGGCGAACTAAATTCCGACCGCCAAGAGGCCAAAATAGTTGACGTAAGGATGAAAGCAACAATCCAGGGCCAGCATGGAGCGTCTTCTGGTTCTCTTTGGTCGCTATTATTTTGGTCAGTCGGTGCTGGATGAAGGTATCGGAGCTTGGACTTACGATATACTTGATAAGTGGTGGAAAGTTGACGGATTTCCTTCTCAAAGTGCTGCTCTTGAGCTCGATGCACTAAGGCAAGTAGAGTTTGATCGATTTCGGTTGCGGTGAGCGGCCTCACAAGAGGATCTTGATGATTCTTGCGAAGACGACAATTCTCGGCAAACCGTCGTATGCGAGAGCCTATTAGAAGCAGCGGACGAAGGCTGGAGTAGCAGAACACTAAATCATTGGTCGTTTCATCTTCGACGACTGGAAGTACGACGATCTTGCGAGCTTCTGATTCATCCGACGGTAACGATTTTGTTGGAGAGTACTTAGCAGGCCATGGTATAGCTAACGTGCCAAACCGTTACGTAACGTAACGAAGCGGTTCGTGCCACCACAGAGAACTCCTTTCGAGTTCGTCGAGATTCGTGCCCCGAGAGAAGATGGATTGTCTTTGGACGGAACGTGATTTCCGACAGCATGAATGGTGAGCTCTTGAATCTCAGCCACACGATTGACCACAAACGTCTTCCACGTAGACGGTTTGTGGAGAGCCAATTTAAGACAATGGTGTCCATAAATATATCGTGGCGGAAATATCGAAGCTGCCCATGGTTTGAACCAGAAGTTTGGACAGGAGCATAGCAGCACACAAATCGAGTCGAGGAATGCTTTTGGTATCTATAGGAGTGACCTTTGATTTTGACATCAGGAGGCGAACTGTGCAGGATCCAGCAGATGTTATCGTACGGAGGTACAGACAGGCACCATATGCAGCCTCTGATGCATCGCTGAAGGCATGAATTCCAGCCTTGCGTAACCTGGACTGAGAACGTGGCGAGGAATACGTAGTTAAGTGAGAACGGTGAGCTTTTGCTTGAATTCCTGCCAATTGCTTACAAATACTGATGAGTTTCCATAATCCTTGGAGCAAAATCTTTGCCTTCGAAATGGTCGGTCCGATGAGACCTAGTGGGTCGAACAAATTGCTGATTTGTGACAAGATTGCCCGTTTGGTTAACGTGGAAAACTCCATCCACTTCGGTTGCTTGAAGGAAAGGAGACCGGTAGCAGGCTCCCATCGTAAACCCAACGTTGTGACGGAGGCTTCGAGGTAAAAGTCGAGTAAAGTTTCTGTTTCCCGAAGCTCCGGTGGAATGGCATCAAGAATAGTCTGGCTGTTAGAAAACCATTGCCGGAGTGGAAGTCCTGCAGAAGCAAGCAGTACGATAAGCTCTTTACAGGTAATGGCGAGAGATTCTGCGTCGTTGGAGCCAGTTAGTAGATTATCGACGTAGAAGTCGCGACGAAGCACTGGAGCTGCCAATGGAAATTGCTGTTTTTCGCCAAGTATTCGTGGATGAACTTTTGATACATTGACTT